CCACAACGCCCGGCTATTTTTTGGTTGCAGCCATTATTGTTGTTTGGCAGGCCTGGGCTGGATTTGAACCCGCCACCTTAGGTATATGTGGCTGGTGCCTTAGCCGCTTGAGCCACAGGCGCCGAGCCACTCATTTGCTTCTAAGCAGCTTTCTGAACAAATTGCCACCACCACCCATTTAAGAAGTCTTTAAGGGCAGTGCCTGTGGCTCAGTGGGTAGGGTGCTTGCCCCATATACCAAGGGTGGCAGGTTTGAACCTGGCCCTGGCTGAACTGCAACAAAAAAATAGCCAGGCATTGTGGTGGGTGACAGTAGTCCCAGCTACTAGGGAGGCTGAATTGCCTTAGCCCAGGAGTTGGAGATTGCTGGAGAATTGCCTTAGCTCAGGAGTTGGAGATTGCTGTGAGCTGTGACACCACAGCACTCTTCTGAGGGTAATAAAGTGAGATTCTGTCTCATTTTTTTAAAAAAGCCTTTAAAATTATAGAAAGAGATAAAAGCAAGTTTGAAAGTTTGGTGTGGGGCAGCACCTGTGGCTCAATGAGTAAGTTGCTGGCCCCATATACTGAGGGTGGCGGGTTTGAAACCAGCCCTGGCCAAACTGCAACAAAAAAGTAGCTGGGTTTATGGTGGGCACCTATAGTCCCAGGACAGGAGAATTGCCTAGGCCTAGGAACTGGAGGTTGCTGTGAGCTGTGATGCTACGGCATTCTACCAAGGGTGGTAAAGTAAGACTCTGTCTCTAAATAAAAAGAATAAAAGGGTTTCGGGCAAAGTGGCTTATGCCTGTAATTCTAGCACTTTAGGAGGCTGAGGCTGGAGGATCCCTTGAGGTCAGGAGTTCGAGACCCCATCTGTACTGAAAATAGAAAAGTCCAGCCAGGCACTGTGGAATCACAGCTCACAGCAACCTCCAACTCTTAAGGTTAAGCAATTCTCTTGCCTCAGCCTACCAAGTAGCTGGGACTACAGGCGCCTGCCACAACACCTGACTATTTTTAGTTGCAGATGTCATTGTGGTTTCAACTGGCCTGGGCCGGGTTCAAACCCACCAGCCTTGGTGCATATGGCTTGCGCCGTAACCACTATGCTACAGGCACTGAGCCAAAAGGGTAGACTTTAATAAAATTAATATTACTGCTTCAGTAAGGACATTCATAGTGACACAGGCTTTTTTCTTGATGAGTGTGTAGCAGTGGAGAATCTCCAACCTCTAGTGCTTTGTCCTCTGCCTTGTGCTCAGGTGCTGGCAGATTCTCCCACCAGCACTGTTGGCACTGGCACAGTGAGGGGCAGACTGGTAGGCATGGGAGCAGTGTAGCATGATGTGGGTACAGTGTGGCCTCATGTCAAGCCTGCAGCACACTCTGGGCATGCTGGGACCAGGAAGCCAGTGGCAGGTTTTCCTAAGGAGCTCAGCCTCTTGTTTTCTCCTCAGCTGACATTGGCGACCTCCTGGAGCAGTTGGTGGAGGAGATCACAGGCTCTCTGTCAGGCCCAGCCAAGGACTTCTACCAGCGGGAGTTTGATTTCTTCAATAAGATCACCAATGTGTCTGCCATCATCAAGTAAGTGCAGTGCCTCAAAAGCCACATCTGGACCTGGGAGCCTCACATGCCTGCCTGGCCTTGGCCCTGGACAGATAGACGAGCGTCTGGTGGGCACACTGCTGACTCTGAGGACGCCAGTGGGCAAAGCACCACCTGGGGAGTCAGGGCTCCTGAGAGGATGGCAAGACCACACAGCCACTCTGATTTCAGAAAACACCTGTTTGATTCTGCACATCATCCCATGGTTTGAGGCTGCTTTGCTCTGTCCAAGTGCTGCAGGATCCTGGTGGTGCCAGGAAAGCCGTACTTGTCTACAGCTCCTGTGGTTGTGCTCCAGGGCCCTCCACTTATGTCACTCTGATGCCATCCTTACACATCCTTGCCCCTGTTATGAGATGAGACCCTGGCATCACTGACATTGGCTGTTTGCCTGGGGACAGGGACAGGCCCAGATCAGGGAGCACCAGGCACAGCTCTCAGCAGGCCCTGACTATCTTGTGTTCACACTGCTCTGACTGCCTTCACCACAAGGCCCTTTCCAGGCCTCCTGAGGCCTTTTCCTGGACTGGGCACCAGGTAGAGCAGTGCTGCTGGCAGTTCCTAGCCCACCAAAGTTCACGGGGGAGGAACATGTCGTGGGCATTTTTGTAGGGCAGGCTCATGGCTCCACTGTGCCCCTCTGGTCTTCAGCCTAAGGTAACATCTCAGGCCTACCCAAGGTCATGGAACAAGTAAATGATAGCCAGCATTTGACCCCTGAACCATCTGATCCCACAGCCACCTGTGCCCCCAAGTGCCTCTAACAGCAAGCAGCACATGTCTCCCTGCCCTACATGGGAGAGGCATAAACTGCCAGAACATAGCTCTGCCTTGGCCCCCAGGGGCTGCCTGGGCTTCTCCATAAAGGACCAGGACAGGAATTGTACAGTGGTTTCCTGGAGGATTAGACCTGGTTGGGGCTTTAGTAGTCACTAGCACTGGGAAGAGAGGAACAAAGAGGGCAGTCCAGACATTAGAGGCCTGGGCTGTCCAGAGGCCAGTTCCTCTACGACAATGGTTCTCAACCTTCCTAATGCCATGACCCTTTAATACAGTTCCTCATGTTGAGGTGACCCCCAACCATAAAATTATTTTCGTTGCTACTTTATAACTGTAATTTTGCTACTGTTATGAATCGTAATGTAAATATCTGACATGAAGGATGGTCTTAGGCAACCCCTGTGAAAGGGTTGTTCAACCTCCAAAGGGGTCTGGACCCACAGGTTGAGAACTGCTGCTCTAGGAGACAAAGCAAAGCATTTCTGTCTTATTTCTCAGACCCTACCCTAAAGGCGATGAGAGAAAGAAGGCTTGTCTGTCGGCTCTGTCTGAAGTAAAGGTGCAGCCAGGTGAGCAGGCATCCTTAGGGCTGGAGGACTGGCCTCCTCCCAAGGGTGGGCAGGGAGTGGAGGCTGCTGCCATCTCCAGGCAGCACAGGGCATGGGGACAACAGCTTGGCTGGCCCCACACATACTTGGGCCTTTGTCCAGCACCACAGCCCCTCAGCCTTTGCCCAGAATCTGCCTTCACTGAGAGGGAGCTGCTCCTTAGCCAGCCTCTTCTCCTTGCTGCCTGCTGTTTTTATAGGAGGCAAAGACACTGTCCTCCACAGATGCTATCCTAGACCAGTGCTCCTGTTATCCTGGACTAGGGCTCCTGTTCTCCAACAGTGCAAGTTGCACAGCTGATTTGGGGGGGGGGGGGGCAGCCCAGGTGTGCTGGGACATGCCAAACGGGGTTCCCACCCAAGTAGGAAGCTGCTCCTTGGCACCTGCCAGCTATTGCCATATGAGAGTTTGAGCTTTTTAAAGAAAATATGGAAATCCAGCCCTCAACAGGAGCTCTCTAGGCTTACCTCTTGGTGCAAACTTGTCTTCTCGAAACCTAGCCGTCCTATGCCGGCATTCACACTGGGCCTCAGCTGTGGGTTGTGTGTGGGGCTTCAGGTTCACACATTTCCTCAGACCTATTATGTTAAGCTCATACAACAGGTCAGTTTCTCAGAAAAGGATGGATACCAGGTCCTCTGTTTCCCCTCAGTGGGAATCCTGTAGCTGCTGGGTGGGTGGAGGAGAAAGACCCAGAGGCTGTCATACAGCAAGGGTTCAGCATCCAGTTCCAGACTCTATGGCCCGGTCTTGCCCCAGAGGCCCTGAGGAGCCAGCAAGGCCCTAGAGCAGAAGAACACAGAGGTGGCCACTGTGTGAGACAGTCCTGGAGCTGGGGAAGGAGAGGGGGCAACAGTGTCCCCCCACCCCGTGGAACAGCCATTTGGTACCCACATCAAGGCCAAGCTTGCTTCCCAGAAGACCATGTGCCCCTTGTTTCAGGCCCTTCCTCAAAACCCTACCCCCTCAGCCAGGCACAGTGGCTTGAACCTGTAATCCCAGCATTTCAGAAGACTGAGGTAGGAGGAGCTCCTGGGGCCAGGGCTTCAAAACCAGCCTGGGCAATGTGGTAAAACTCCATCTAACAACAAATAAATAAAACCCACCCAGCTCCTGGTCAGGAGGCTCTCTCACTTTAGCCTGGAGCACATGTCTCCCCAGGGACTAACCGTTTGTTGGCCCCTTATTTCACACATACTGAGTGCTTGCTGAGAAAGGGGAACTCCTGCTTGCAAACAGGAGGCTGATTGGAAGGGGGTTCCAGGTGTGCAGAGAAGTGCAGAAAGCTCCTGAGAGGCAGGACAGGCCCCACACCATGCAACTTCTCAGAGGAGTATCTCTTGGAGTGGCAACTCCTTTTAGATGTGTGGAAAGACCACACGGACATCGTGGAATCAGGGAGGATGGACCCTTAATAGCCACAGATAGGCCCAGCATGCCCAGTGTCATCTGCAGGGTATGCCTGCAACATCTGTTTTGGGAACTGGTGTGGCCTCACCTGTTGCCACACAGGGGCTCCTTGTGACTCCTCCTGTCCCTACGTAGGCTGCTACCTGCCCAGCAACCCTGAGGCCATCGTGCTAGACATCGACTACAAGTCTGGGACCCCAATGCAGAGGTGAGAGCCCCACCCTGCCCCCAGGCCTGTGGCCCCCTTACATAAGGGTTTTTCCTGGCTGCATTCCTGGTACCACATTATCTTTGTTTTCCAGTGCTGCAAAAGCCCCATACCTGGCTAAATTTAAGGTGAAGCGATGTGGAGTCAGTGAGCTTGAGAAAGAAGGTCAGTGGAGAGTTTTGACCTCATTTGGGGTCTCATTGCTCCCCTGCCCCCAGTAATGTCAGTTGCTTTTGACAATTTATCACCAGCTCCTCATAAAAGATGATGTCTATCCATCTCCCCACCTTCTCTGAGCCCTCATTCAAAAAGGACACAGCTAAAATGCTATGACAAGTGGGCCACACTTAGAGGCCTGTGCACTCCCACTGACTCCCACAGAAGGCCCCTTCTTGAGGCTGAGTGGCCTAAAGCCTTTGCAGGGTATGTTAGTGGCCTGGGGCTGCTGAACAATGACCACAGACCGGAAGGCTTAGGCAGCAGAGCCATGTTATCTCACAGTTCCGGAAGCTCCAGTCTGATACCAGGGTGTCGGTCAGGGCCACACCCCTTCAGATGGCTCTGAGGCAGGACCCTTCCCTGCTTCTTCCAGCCCTTGGTGGTTGTGCTGCAGTCCTGGGTGGTCCTGGGCATGTGTTTGCCTCTCTCTGGTCTCTGCCTCCGTCTTCACATGGCATTCCCTGGTGTCTGTATCCTCATCTCCCTCTTAGGACACAGTCATTGGATTAGGGCTCATCTGCAAAGACTATTTCTAGAAAGTTTGTTGTTGTTGTTGTTTTTTTTTTTTTTTGGCCAGGGCTGGGTTTGAACCCGCCACCTCCGGCATATGGGGCCAGCACCCTATTCCTTTGAGCCACAGGTACCGCTCATGCAAAGACTGTTTCTAAATAAGGTCACACCTAGGTTTTGAGTGAGCAGAACAGAGTATGGCCGGCAACACAGAGGGGCTGCCCGCCTGTGCAGGGACAGGCCTTCTGTGGCAGTGCCCATGTGCAGCCCTGAGTTCTGGGCTTCCCAGGGTGTGGACACACCCATGCCCCAGCACCTGGGCCTCAGTGCTGGTGATGTGGGGTTTTGTTTTTAATTGTATTTAAGCTTAAATGTTCTTAAGGAAAGACCCTTAACCCTGGGGTTCCACAGGCTTCCCCAAGATTTTTCCTGGGGCCCTTGTTGATGTCCTTAGGGCTTTGTAGAGAGGATTCTCAGGGCTCCTTCCAGGTACACAAGTGGGCTCACCTTCAGCACCCTCAGAGGGCTTTTCACTACCTTGGGGCACAGGTGTCTTATCCCCTGCACAGGGCTGCGGTGCCGCTCAGACTCTGAGGATGAGTGTGGTGCGCAAGAGGCAGATGGCCAGAAGATCTCCTGGCAGGCGGCCATCTTCAAAGTGGGAGACGACTGCCGGCAGGTAGCAGGGCCTGGGGCAGATGGGGGCAGGCCCGCTTCCCCCAGCCGCAGGCCTGCTGGAGTCCAGCCTCACATGTGGAAACATGCATCTTTGCCTCCCTCCTCCCACGCACATTTGGTTCAAGTGCCACACAGTAAACCAGGGCTTCTGCAAACCCAGAGACTTCTCCTCTGTCCCCTTTCCTAACACCTGCAGTGCCGGCCCCTGCCTGGGGGAAAGGGGGATCCAGGCTCATACACCCCACCAAGTGCCATGGCCTCATGCTCAGCCCAGGGCTTGGTGGTCCTGAGGCCATGAGCCCAACCCTTCCAGACTCTTGCTCAGCAGTGCCCTCCCTGGCTTACCATCACTGGCCATTCAGCCTCTGACCTGTGTGAGGCAGAGGGGACCTCTGGGAGTCGGGTGGGCCAGGGGTGTTAGGAGGCTAGCCAACAGCACCTCATGCGCCCTTGGGTCCCAGGACATGCTGGCCCTGCAGATCATCGATCTCTTCAAGAATATCTTCCAGCTGGTCGGCCTGGACCTCTTTGTTTTTCCCTACCGAGTGGTGGCCACCGCCCCTGGGGTAAGTGCCCTGAACGATAGCCTGGCTAGGAAGCCCTTGGTGCCTCCCACGTGCCAGTCCTGGGACTCACCTTCTTCCCTAGTGTGGGGTGATTGAGTGCATTCCTGACTGTACCTCTCGAGACCAGCTGGGCCGCCAGACAGACTTCGGCATGTATGACTACTTCACACGCCAGTATGGGGATGAGTCCACCCTGGCCTTCCAGCAGGTAGCCCCCGGAGTGTTGTGTGCACTCCATTCCATGCCACCTCCTCCCTTGCCTGCTCTTCCAAGTCATCCCTCATGAGAGTAGAAAACCAGGTCACCCATAAGCTTCCTTGGGAGTGAAAGGAACCTAGAGTGGGCTCCCCAGGAGAAAGCTGTCTACAGTGAGAGGGAGGGGCTGCCGCCCCGCTGCCCCTAGGTGCAGCCCCATCATTGCTGCTACCCAGGTCTGGCTGAGCTGGCTGGCTCAGGCTCTGCCCCTAAGTGGGGACACAGCTGGGGAGAGCCTACAGCCTAGGGCCGCTGTGAGCCTGGGCTCTCTCTGCACAGGCCCGCTACAACTTCATCCGCAGCATGGCCGCCTACAGCCTGCTGCTGTTCCTGCTGCAGATCAAGGACAGACACAACGGCAACATCATGCTGGACAAGAAGGGCCACATCATCCACATCGGTAGGTCAGGCGGCCAGGTACAGTTCCCTGCTCAGCCCACGGATGAGGGTGGGGCCCCAACAGCGGAGGCCAAGGCCCAGTGCACCTGCCACTTTACCCCACAGGGGAGGTTGAGTCCAGTGCAGCTCCCCCTTCATCCCCACAGAGGTGGGCAGGCCCAGTGTACCTCCCCCTTTACCCCGTGCCCAGTGGAGGGTGGGGTTCCACAGAAGAGGATAGGTCAGGTGCAGTGCACCTCCCCTTCACCCCATGGTCAGGGGAAGGCCGGCCCCACAGAGGTGGGCAGGCTCATCCAGGCTGGGTGCTGGGCTCTGCTCCCTCCCGGATCCTACCTCCACTTCTCCCCTCCCTCTCCCTTCTGGCCACTCCTAACCCCCCTGTGATCCCTAAAGACACCCAGCCTGCCCAGCCAGGGTCCAGAGTCCTGCCCCAGTCCCAGATGGCTCTTTGGGGTTTTGCAGACTTTGGCTTCATGTTTGAAAGCTCCCCAGGTGGGAACCTGGGGTGGGAGCCTGACATCAAGCTGACAGATGAGATGGTGATGATCATGGGAGGCAAGATGGAGGCCACACCCTTCAAGTGGTTCATGGAGATGTGTGTCCGCGGCTACTTAGCTGTGCGGTGAGCCAGGGCAGGGGTTGGGGTGCCATCTAAGCCCCCCATTAGGATGAAAGGAACCTGGTTCAGAGACAGCAAGGCCAGTGCTGGTGGCCCAGGCCTGGCCTTCTGGTTGCCCCTTTGCCCACCTATGTTTACAACTTCTTACTCCGGGCATCTGAGCCCATCTGAGACCTGTCATCCTGCTGACACCGTTGGCCATGAGCTCCCCCTTCTGGATGCCAGAGCACCCCCCATCCCCTGGATTGCACTCTGGAGACTAGCATTTTCCTGGTTTCACATACAGAGTCCCTTGGCCAAGGTTACACACTAGCGTATGGTGACACTTGGCCTGTGACCCAGGTCAGTCCATACCCATTCAGTCCCCACTGCCCTGTGCAGTGCCCTGGGAGGGTCAGGGCATCTGTGCTTCCCCAACTGGGTACAGAAACCGTGGTTGGTGGCCTCATGTGGTGGGAACCAGCTGGGCTGTTCAGACCATCCAGGGTGCATGTGAGCAGCCCCAGCCTAGGCTGTGCAGAGGCTGGGAGTCAGCAGGTGGCATGAAGGGGGCTGCCACGGAGGAGGGGGAAGCATGGAAGATATGCTTGGGAGGTGGCTGGGAACCCATGCATGAGGCTGTCAGGCAGCAGCCACACCACAGGGCTCCCCTGGCTGGCCTCTGCTACCTACCACCTCCATCTCTCCCTAGGCCCTACATGGATGCAGTTGTCTCTCTGGTCACTCTCATGTTGGACACGGGCCTGCCCTGTTTCCGCGGCCAGACAATCAAGCTCTTGAAGTAGGTTCCTTGGCAGACACACAGGCCTTTTTGGGTATGGTTGTCCACTAGCTGAGGCTCTACCTAAGATAGGAACTTTGTATGCTAACAAATTTTAAGTGATTGTCATCTTCCTAGAACTCAGACAGGTCTCCTAGGTGCGACTCTGTGCCAAACCACAGCTCTGCCAACATGCCTTAGAAGCACCCCCTGATTCCTCAAGGACACTTCACATCCACTAGGCCTTCAGTCACTTATTTTCCCAGTGCTTAGTCCCCCCACCCCTCACCCCTCACCACCATGGGGCCACTCAGGCCCAGGTGATGCTGGGAAGAGCACAGGGCCCACAGTAGGCCAGGCTTGCCCTTCACAGCATTGTTCCTAAATTCTACCATGTAGACCACAGAGGACACATTTCCAGGCCGTGGCATCACACTGGGCAGGGGCAACCTCAAACACAACCAGGGGCATGGGAGGGAATGACAGCCAGTCCTACCATGGCCTCTCCCCAGACACAGGTTTAGCCCCAACATGACCGAGCGTGAGGCTGCAAATTTTATCATGAAGATCATCCAGAGCTGCTTCCTCAGCAACAGGCAAGTCACCCACTTGTCTTCCTCTCCTGAGTTCACATCACCCCACCTGCCCTCCCCTCCTCTCTCCACCTGCCCTGCCCTGCTGGCCACGGGGCACCTGGTGGGGCCTGGCTTAGACCAGATCACGAGAATGCTGCTGTCCCTGAGCTGCTCCTCTCACAGGAGACCCTGGATCTCTTGAGGAGCAATGAGGTGCTTATTCAGGGGGAATACCTGGAAGAGTCTGAAGCTGGAAACCAGCCTGCCTGGGGCAGGACGTGTGAAGCTGAGTGAGCTTGGAATCAGACTGGAGTCCCTGGGAGGGCTTAGGAAATCAGCCCCTGTTCCCTATGCCTTCCTGGGGCTGCTGTATGGGCAGCGTCTGGCGGGCAGCTAGGGGCTGCCAGTTAGTCTCCCTGTGGTAGGGAGACAAGATAGAAGCAGGAGGCCCCGAGAAGGGCTAGTTAAGGGTCTGAAGGTGGAACCCAGGGCCCACAGGCTCCTGTGGGGTGAGGGAGTCAGATGTGGCTTTGAGGGTTCCAGCCTGAGTGATGGGTGGGTGGCTGTTCCAGTAGGTATATGATGGAACAGCTCTGAGAGTCTGGAAGCCCTGTGCAGGGGTACCTGAAGACAGACGGGGTGGGGTGGGGGTGCCATGGTGTATATAGCACCCTCCCAAGAGGGGATGGGGGTGTGGCCATATGCTCTAGGAGCTGCTGGATGAACCTGAGGAGCCACCCAAGAACCTGCCCCCAGGTGCCTAGAGGGTAATGCTAGAAAGAAGGGGCAGGAACCACAAGGGCTGGCACAGGAAGCACCCGGGAGAATGGAAAAGCACAAGGCTTCAGGAGGGCTTGTGGGGCAGGCCAGGAGACAGCAGGCACCTAGTAGCTCAGTGGCTCCCACAGCTACAAGGGGTTTGGCTAGCAAGTGCCAATGGGCCTCAGAAGTCTCAGGGTTGGAGCAGGAGATGTTGTGGGTGGTGATGGAGGGGATGAGTGGGTGGGGAGGGACCCCAGACCCAGCAGGCTGCTCAGAGCTTCCCTTACCCTCACTTTCCAGGAGCCGGACCTACGACATGATCCAGTACTATCAGAACGACATCCCTTACTGAGGAGGGCCTTCCAAAGCCAGAGCCCTCCCCCTGGGTGCCCTGAAGTCACCCAGCTATGTGACCACCCCTTCCCTACCACTTCATCCGCTGGAGTTGTTTTTAATAGGAGGGAAGAACTGCAGCCCAGGAGCCCTGTAGTCGCTTCTGCCTCAGAGGTGGCATACGGCCAAGTAGCTTAGGGATACCACAGACCCAAATGACAATCTACGATGGTGCTGTCTACGCACAGGTTTAAATCCTCTTGTTTGCACTGGACACATTCCCAACCTGTCTTATTTCATAGGTACATGAAGTATTTTCTTGTGTATAAAAAAAAGTTATATTCAATCTAAGATTTAACCAACATGGTCAAAATAAAAACCCAAAAGAGTGCTGTTAGTGTCAAGTCCTAAGTGCCAGCTGAGGGGCAGCCACTGGCTCTGCCCCTGGAGAGGAGCCCAGTGTGGCCTGCACTGGTGAGCTGGGGCCTAGCTCACAGGCATGAGCCTCACAAGCACCACAGCACAGCTTGCACCAAAAATAACATTCTCCCTGTGCTCTCTGCCCACTCCAAAGCTCCCTGCCACAGGGACTGCCGGCTGCATGTGGCTGTCAGCATCTTTCCTCCTCCAGTCCTTTCCATGTTGGGCCTAGCAGCCATCTATTCCCACCCACCAGAGCCTTCTAATTATCATAAGCAGATAAGGATGTAAAGGCCCAAAAGAAAACATTCCAAAAGATTAACAGCAGATAAGATGAAAGTGAAGTGAAAACCAATCCCTGGGAAGATAGAACAATGAAATTACAAAAAATGGAACACAGAGGCAAAGTTAAATTATGAGCTCTAGCCAACCTGTGATGGGCTTTCCAGAGTTGACAGAGACACAGATAGTTTCAGGCAGCACAGTTGAGTCCTAAGCAATATTTTAAAATATATAAATAAGCCAATGTGTGGGTCAAAGGAGTTTTTTTTGAAGGTTTTTGTTTGTAGGTTGGTTTGAGACAGTCTCACTTTGTCCCCCGTGGTAGAGTGCCGTAGTGTCACAGCTCACAGCAATCTGAAACTCTTGGCCTCAATCGATTCTCTTGCCTGAGCCTCCCGAGTAGCTGGGACTACTGCACCTGCCACATGCCTGGCTATTTTTTGAGAGACAGGGTCTCGCTCTAGCTCAGACTGGTCTTGAACTGTGAGATCAGGCAATCCACCTGCCTTCACCCTCTAGAGTGGTCAGATTATAGGCATGAGCCACCACACCTAACCACACCCGGCTATTTTTAGAGATGGGAGTCTCACTTTGCTCAGGCTGGTTTCAAACCGCTGAGCTCAAGCAATCCACCTGCCTTGGCCTCCCAATATGCTAGGATTGCAGGCATGAGCCACTGCACCTGGAATTTATATTCCATAGTCAAGGTTATAGGACACACAGCAGTATACAAAAATCAACTTTGTGTGATTATATCCAAAAACAATGATGAAAGGTTTATGAGAAAAACTAAAAACCATGGATGTTGAAAGAAAGATCTAAACAGTCACGTGTCATATTCATGAATTGAAATATTCAATATTACACACATTTGGGCCAGGTGTGGTAGCTCATGCCTGTAATCCTAGCACTCTGGGAGGCCAAGGTGAGTGGACTGCCTTAGCTCATGAGTTGGGGACCAGCCTGAGCCAGAGTGAAACCTCATCTCTAAAAATAGCTGGGCATTGTGCAGGGCACCAGCTACTTGGGAGGCTGAGACAAGACAACAAATTGATCTGCAGTTTCACTGCCAATAACATTGAAAATCTCAGTAAGTTTTGTACTAGAAATCGGCAAGAAGATTCTAAAATTTATATGAGAATGCAAAAGGCAAAACAACAATTTCAGTCTTTAGTAATAGCAAACCTGGGCACAGTGGCACATACCTATAATCATAGCAGTCTGGGAGGCTGAAGCAGGTGGATGGCTTCAGCTTAAGAGTTCAAGACCAGGCTTGGTGCCTGTGGCTCAAGTGGCTAAGGCACCAGCCACATACACCTAAGGTGGCGGGTTTGAATCCAGCCCGGGCC